GTGAGTGTAAACACACACAAAAAAATATTTTATGTGCTGGAATGTGCAGAAAATGGGTTTAAATGTTAAACTAATTTATTCAAGTCAGAGAATGTTGTATATAATTAAATTTTTGCTTGATGCATAAAGTTAAAAGATTAAAACTAACAAAACAAGTTTTAAAAAGGGACCTTTCCATTTGATTACATTTTGTATGATGGATTATGCAGAAAAAGTAGAATTGGGCTGAAAGATCTATCGCTTTATTACCTATTCAGGTTGTAAATCGCATAAATTGTGTTTTTAAAAAGTAACTAAGTAACTAAGTAATTAATTACTTTTGAAAATAAGTAATCAGTAAAGTAACGGGATTACTTTTTCGGGGAAGTAATCCGTAATTAGCTACTGATTACTTTTTTCAAGTAACTTGACCAACACTGGTTATTATAATAGAGCAAACCAATACAAGTCTCTTCTCTATGACACCAGTCTTGCTGCTTGTTTCTCTCTTATTGTTAAATATAACATTTTTCTTCTACAAATCCTGCTTTAAAATTATTTCTACTCATATGCACTACCTGGTGGTGAAATCCATGCAGCACAGCCCCACATATTTATAATGCCTATATAATTTATACTACTGCAGGGGAGGTGCAGGAGGAGCAGCAGTGGTATCCTGCAAAGTTGTAATGACAATAGAAGACACTTAACCCACCCAACAGGGAGCCACCTGACTCCACTATCTACCACTGAGTTAGTGGAAAGAAGTGTTCATGATGAATTAAAACAAATAACTAAGGAACAAAAATGAAGATTTATCCTTCTAGGAGTGAAAAAAAAAGCAAGACAGTGTAAATTTAGCAAATATTTAAATATCAAATAATAAATATTATAGGTTTAAATGCATATAATGCCTCAATAACTAAATCAGGCTATTTTTATCTTAGCTGTGGGGGAAATGAACCTGTCACCTCCACTAGCAGCTTAGCTAACAAAGCAGCCTGGTTGGTCTACGTCTGCTGCCAGTGAGGTGACTAATTCGAGTGTGTGCAGCCAAAAGTCAGAGCTGGGACATCGGCAGTTTACTTGTTACTGTGTGCAAAAGCTAGTAGTTACAATAATAACACTTCATGATCAGTCAACGTGGTCTTGGGTTTTGTTGAAAAATAAATATAGAGGAATTTTGGAGTAGGCCTACACCAGTAAAGCTGTGTCTGACAAAATGACTGTCAAGTTATGAATGCTAAGTTATGAAATTTAAACTAAAAGAAATTTAGTCAAGTACTAAGGGGTACTGGTGTAAATTATTAATTATTGTGCTATTGTGTATTTTATTGTAGCCTATAGGCTGGTTTTATTGTTCTTCGTGTTTGTTTTTAAAATAAAGGGTTTTTTTTATGTTTTTTTAATCTTGGAAAATACTCATTTTAATTTTATACATATACGTGTGTGTGTGTGTGTGTGTGTGTGTGTGTGTGTGTGTGTGTGTGTGTGTGT